GACAAAGCGAATTCATGACCGCGACAAAACATTGACACCTCAAAAGAATCGAACCTGTTGTTGTAATCGAAATCTGGCTGTTAGTGTTTCAACTTTTTTGTTGTTCAGGATTGCAAGCTTCTCTATAAAGCGCTGCGTCTGTTCTGGTGTGATCTCTTTCCGCAGACCTGTCATAAGCCACTTAGTAGATCCTTGCAAATTCATTTCAGCATCATAAAAAATTTTCGCGTTAGTTCATCTATGTTGTATAGTCTTAACAATACCCCAACAAAAGACGTCTTCATCTTAGGATAATTCCCGTTGTGCTGAAGTAAGATTCCCAATGCTTCGTCTTTAAAACTTTGACGGTCCTGAAGTAGTTCTGCTGCAGGTACTTTTTTCAGCAATTGCGTATAAGCTTCGTCAACATTTTCTAGCGACTGCTTTGCTATAGCCTTCTTGTCCACTTCACCAGTATTTATTCGGGTATGACCAGAGCTTGTTGATCCTACCAAAGATCTTACCCATTTAAAAAAAATTTCGACGTAGTTTCAAACATTCTTTCTTCGGATGAGGTGTCGGATGAGGTGTCGGAGATCTTTCGACTGGAATGTCGTCTGCTTCAATCGGCTCTAAATTCGTAGTAGTCGAGACGCTAGCGCTCGGCTGCAGCAAGTAGGATGGCATAGGGAAGACGCATTGACACAGTGTCACCAGTTGATATTACTTGATCACTTGAGGAAGAAATGTAAAGTGAAGACTGAGCAGGACTGAGTTAAGGTCTATTTATCGTATAGAAGGAGCGGCAAAGAAGGCGATCGCATGTTCTCTTGTTAGCACATGTTCTTATCTCTGAAACCATTTCATACAACAAGTGGTTTGGGCTGCAGTATTATTGAGAAAGATGTTTTTTACTCGTAGCTAAAGGTCTAACATGGTCTTAAACTGTACCAAGCTATCGCACAAGGGGGATGCGGGTGGCTGGTAGTAGAGTTTAGCATCACTCGTGGTGCTAAGCAGAATCAGCTGCAGATTGATAACAAGACGCAATCAGCATTTTGACTGTTTTCGTAGAATTTGTATACATTTTATGCATGACTTGCGTTTCAGACAACGTTACGATAAATGCCTTTACTACACACACACACATCACACATGCATTGACAATCCTGTCCTGTTGTGTAATGTTGTGTCGTGAATTGCTATGTACTGCTCTTGAGAAAAATCACAAGAGTTCTATATAAATGACAGCAAGATGGCTTTGAAGCATTAGCCGCCAATCCTTAATTGTCACACCACGATTCAAAGCTGGGCTCACGTTACGAAAATAGAAAAGATACATACACCGATGAAAGAACCTCTTGTTGTAACAAATCACAAGGGGCCTCCATCACCACATGCAGACGCTCGTCCTTTTTCAACCACATTTGCTATTGCAGATGTGTCGCAAAAAGGCAAATGATTTACGCATTTTCCTGCGACAAACTTGCGCATTTAGAACCGACTTGTTTCAAGTGCTAGCATGTGTATGTTGGCTCGGGTCAAGAAACACATGTCGAAAGCACTAGAGCGGACTACTATCTTTTTCTCTATATATGATCTAGAGTACTAAGCTTGTGTAAGACCGCCCGACCGTAACCTTTCAGCTGTAATTTATACATTTACGGAGGTTTATGTAAAACGTATACTGTCCGGTAATATGTCACTCATCACTTTGTCTCGTCATTCGGCCGAGGTAGGTTTTTTTATCCTCCCTTCATATTTTACGTAAGATAAAAATATAATCCGTGGGTCGACTGCTCCATAATGCTGCTGTATCATCAACCTCAGTAATCTCGTGTCTTCTCTCTCTTTGTCCTTCTTCTTCTTTTTTTTTCTAATTCTACTCATCTCTATCTTCTTCTTTCTCTTAGCTATTGTAGGGCATCACTAGCTCACACTCGCTCTTGTATTAATCAACGTATCAAGTCGCTTCGTTTCACACAAACGAAAAGCTCTCATCTTGTTTTATTTTCTACTCAATTCAAGAGAAAAAAAGAAAAAAACAAGCAGGAAAATGCTCTTGCCCGAGTTCAGGTATTAAGCAGCACTACACGTGGACTTCATGTATCGTTTGTGGATTTAATTGTTTCTGCTTAATGTAGAATGACCATGTTCATGCATGATATATGTGTTACAGGCTCCTGTGGCTAAAGTAAGTGAAGTGAAAAGGTTATTGTCGCTCTATGGACCAGAGAAAAAACCATTGGCCATCTCAATTTCGACTCTGGGTATCTCCACCTTCATTACGATGTGTGTGCCCTACGGAATGGGGAAGGTCATTGACGTGGTGACGGCAGGTTCAGCTGCTGCAATGCCATTGCCAACTGTAGTAACGCTACTTGGTGGACTCTTTGCTGCTGGATCGATTGCTAATATTGTTCGAGTGGATACGACCAATATGATTGGAGAAAGGATTATCAACAGATTAAGGCAGGACACGTATGCGTCAATATTGCGGCAGGAATTGGCCTTCTTTGACTCGTCCAGAACAGGGGAGCTGCTGAACAGACTGAGTGCAGATACAACGATGATTGGCAAAGTACTGAGCGACAACGTAGCTAGTGGACTGCGTAGCTCTGGACAGGCACTGGGTAGTATCACGATGATCTTTATCACGTGTCCGCAGCTAGCTATGGTCATGTTGTCGGTAGTCCCGCCCATTGCACTTGGTGCGGTGAGCTATGGTCGATATGTAAAGAACCTGACGACGGAAGTACAGACCCAGCTGAGTGAAGCTACCGAAGTAGCTGAAGAGAAATTAAGCAATATTCGTGTAGTGCGCTGGTTTGCCAAGGAAACTCATGAGATGAAAGCCCACCGGATCAAAGTAGACCAGGTGCTAGAGCTGGCGCGTAAACGCTCTCTTGCAAGTGCCACCTTTTTTGGCGGTGTAGATTTTGGAGTTAAACTGAGTATGCTTGGTGTTCTTGGATATGGCGGACAAATGGTGGTGGATGGCCTGCTTACAAGTGGTGATCTGACTTCTTTCCTGTTGTACACGCTTTATGTTGGATTTTCTTTCGCGGGCATGTCCTCTTTCTACGCGGAATTGATGAAGGGCATTGGAGCGTCCTCGCGCGTGTTTGAGCTACTTCATCGTCAACCAAAGGTCCGGATTCCTCAACAAGGGTGGGCTCCGTTACAGGCTCCGTTTCATGGCCACATTCAGTTCCAAGACGTTGGGTTTTCGTACCCTGCTCGTCCAGACGCGATAATTTTCTCTGGCCTGAACTTAGAGGTGCTGCCTAATGAAACATTAGCGCTCGTGGGCCCGAGTGGATGCGGTAAGTCGTCGGTGACGTCATTACTTGCGCGCTTCTACGACTTGGATGGCCCTGGATGTGGCGGTAAAATCATGCTGGATGGTGTTGACATCTCAACTGTAAACCCAACGGAGCTCCGCGGTTTGATGGGTGCTGTACCGCAGGAGCCACCTCTTTTTGCGTGCTCTATTCGTGACAACATTGCTTACGGCTGCTCTGAAGGGCAAGAAGCAACTTTGGAGGACATCATCCGTGCAGCCAAAATAGCAAACGCACATGACTTTATCGTGTCCTTTCCGAATGGATATGATACGATTGTTGGAGAGCGTGGGCAGGCACTCTCTGGTGGTCAGAAGCAGCGCGTGGCGATTGCGCGTGCGCTTGTGAAGCGCCCAAAGATCCTCATTCTGGATGAAGCGACCTCAGCTTTGGATCCAGAAAGTGAGAAACTTGTGCAAGACGCAGTAGATTGCGCCAAGCAAGGGCGCACAGTAATTCTGGTGGCACATAGATTATCCACCATTAAAAGTGCTGACCGTATTGCTGTCATATCAGACGGTCGTGTCGTAGAACAGGGCACCTTTGC